CACACAACATAAAATTACATAAAACAAAAACTAAAAATTAGTAAAATACAATAAAATTTACATAAAACAAAAACTAAAAAAATAGTAAAATACAATAAAAATAAATAAGCTTACAAGAACTAAAATAAAAAATTTGATGTAAAAATTAATATAAATATTCCCAACATTAAAATTGATTAAAATTCTAGATAAATCATACACCTTTTTAATTACAAAACTATATGAATATACGGTAAAGATTATGTTTATTTCATAAAATTGAAAATTTTGTATAACGTTCACATAAAATAGTAAATGATTAAAACTATAGATAAATAATATGAGACAATTCTAAAAGAATAGAAACCAAATGATAATGAATGTTTTAAGCAATGTAATAAAGTTATTAAAATGAGGATTGTGAAGTAGAAAATATGATTAGATAATGAAAAGTTGACGCTGAGAGATATGAACAACTTCATTACAAATATATGAAAATCAGTATATAGTCTAACATGTTATATGTGAGCAAGGAGAATAGATTAAGAAAAGAAAACAAGTGTGTCTGTAGAAAGTTAATTGAGATAAGCAAGAGTTTTAAAACTCAAAAATATGTAGACCGGAAACTAATACAAAAATTTCATATTTTTATTACTATGTGAAATGAATGGTTTCTTAATAAAAATATTCTACCAAGGCTATTAGATTTGAAACCGGACTAAATTTTGTTTAGCCGCACCAGTATGGTAAGTTGGATGGGAAAAAACATTTTTAAATTGATAAAAAGCCTTATAACAGGTAGAATCTGTTGCTTTTATTTTTTTTAAAACATTTTTGCTTGTAATTGTTAAAGCGTATTCGCCGAATCCGTTGTGGTTGCATAGAATTACTTTTTAAAATTCAAATTATTATATTTATATTTAATGATTTGTTTGACATATTAAAAATGATACCCCACGTAACGTGTGGGTATAAATCTAGTTTCAAAAAAAAAGTATATTAATTTTTCATTAATAGCAAAATGTAAGTCAAACGTATGAGATTACTAAG